GCAACCAAGGTACATGCCCTTGACCGGAATTGAACCTGGGACCCTTCAGTCCCCAGGCCGACGCTCTATCCAGTGAGCCAAACCAGCTAGGGCGACCCTTATCTTTCATTAGTTTCCCCATATATTTACCTTCCCACAGTTTATTCCCCATAGAAGCCTGACCCTCTTGTTCTTTGTCTAGTCACTTCTCCACACTTAATCACTGTTTGTTAAAATGATGTATGAGCTTCTAAGACTAACCACTTCTTTGGGCTTTTCACTTCTTTTCTGTATATTCCCATCTATAGATATAAAAGCCTAATATGTAAAGTGTCCCCTCAGGAATTTGATCACTCGCTATGATGTGCACTGACCACCAGTGGGTGGCGCGGAACAAAGGAAGGCCCCGGTAGGCAGCCGAGGAAGGGAGTTCCCGGCCGGCAGCTGGCAGCCGCTAGGGACCCTTCCCATGCACGAATTTCATGCACTAGGCCTCTAGTGTACATATAAAATTAAAAACAAAATAAATTTGTATGCATTTTTCTTCTGTTAATCTGTTTTTTCTCAGTTTAATGCACAGGACCCAGACATAGAACCTAAGAGGGTAGAGGAAATATTTTTCCTTCCTTACAGAGGCGTTTCAGAAAAACTAGTTACTAGTCACAGTGAAGTCAAGCAGTGGGAATGTTAACACAAAAGGGAGGGGACCCCCACTATTTTCAGAAGTAGTGCTGACGAACAGTGCCTCCAGTCTTTGCTACTTTATGGTGAAGCTACAAGATGTACCCAACCACAGTCTCCCTCACCTTCTTCCAGACAAAGACTTTATTATGTATCAAGACTTTTATGTATGTCATGCATAAAAAGTTTATTTGCTCTGCAGGTACAAAGAAATAAAAGATTATTCTATTCTCAAAAAGTATCTAATAGTCTAATACAGACCTATTGAAAGAGGAGTTATACAAAGCAAATATAAAAAATACAATTGCCTAAGTTAGTAAGGATGGCTGCCCAACAAAACCTCGTCCAATCTAACAGAATCCTCACAGGTTTCTCTGAGCAAAATGCAGAGACTCCAGTTAAGGCTTGTGTTCCATTCCTGGGTCAAACCAACCACTTCCTAGCTTTGAGACCTCAAATAGTTTTCTTAACCTCACTAAGTCCTACTTCATCCATAAAATGGGGATATTAGGATCTACCTTTTAGGGAAGTTAAAATAATCAAATGAGATGGGGCATTTAAAGTTCTTGGCACAGTTCCTGACACTTAGGAATAAATGTTAACTATTACCAACACCACCACCATCATCATCATCACCCTGTCATTTTCAAGGCGTTTCTCAAACTTTACAATGGAGCACCTCTGACATTCATTTATTAAGAGGGAAAAAATTATATGAGAGTTCCGATGGTTTTGGATGAAGACCTTTTTCCTCTCAATGGTGTTATATAAGCAGCATATGTGTGACATCTTTGAAGTTTGTTTTTTACTGTGTATACAAAAGAACCCAAAACATTGGCATCTGCTTCTTCAATGTCCCACAAATTTATTTTCAGAAGACATGTGAAATATTTATGCTGCTTTACTTCCACCATCAAAATCAATAAGCCATTTTAAAGAAATGGTCAAGGTCAGACCTCAGGCTTCCCGCTACAGTGGAGGGTCATCAAACCTGCTTTGAATGCAAGGATTGTAGCCACATCTCATTCAATATCCTTTGGCCCATTTTACATCAAGTCTCAGAATAAAGTCTCTTTAAAAAAAAAAAAAAAAGGCTTTGTGAGAACATAAGTTGTTTTCTCCACTCCGACAAGCCAGACCGGTTCACCCTAATTTAACTGCAAGGCTCCAGAGGGTGGCTGAAAGAACAGAAATGCCACATGTGTGTAAAACAGTAGAAGGTAAAGAGGATTCTATAAGGAATGAGCTAAACCGTAAAACTGTTAGCCGATGGAGTACCATAGTGACACATCTAACAATTAGAAGGTAGAGTTTCGATAAAAGACCTGGGATGGCCAACAGTGACCCTAAAGGAATAAAAAACACCAGTAAACAAGGAAAGGTTAAAATGTGACAGAATTGATTTTTCAAGCAGAGGGTAGGTGATACCACAGAGACTATAGGAAACATGGCAACCAACAGCAAGGCACTTAAAATGGAATCTGATTCTGTTCTGGGAATGACTGTTTGTATTTTCTTTTTCGAATGAAATGGATTTGAAAAAGAAAAAATAAACTGGGGAAAAACAGTGCTTATCACCAGATAAGTAGGGATGGTTTTTATATGTTTGTTATTTTCTAAAGGTTCTATAATAAAAATATTACTTTTATTTTTAACTACAAGATTTTTTTACACAAAATGGACAAATCAGCCATTCACTTGTAGGAACAACCTAAAATTAAAATTAATCTGTGCATATGTAAATCTCCCCCATTAGACTCAAGACCCTCATGAATGAGAACCTATGTCATTGTTCCTTGGAACGCCGGCGTCTAGCACGGGGCCTACGTACATTAAGAAGTGCTTTTGGCAAATGAATTTTGATTGTGGACAAAAGCCCAAACCAGGTGACCCCTGGTATAGCCTCAGGAAGGAAATTAAGGAAATGCACAAAGAAATTAAGTAGCAGGGCTTTCCCACAAGCAGCTGACCAGCATTTGTCTGGGCAGCCTCCTTTCCAAAAAGGTCCCCTTATGGGGTATTGCCAATCAACCTGAGAGATACATTAGCCCACATTATAGCTTAATGTTCCTTATTACTAAAATTTTCCATTAAGTCCTTTGTCCTCTCTCGCTTAGCTGTCCTCCTTCTCATATTGCCTATGAATTAAGCCATGCTGTTCTGCCCAGTTCTTGCTTTGCAGAAAACTAGAGGGACCCTATTTATACGGTAACCTTATTTGAGTTTGGATGTCATTTGTAAATGTGGGAGGAATCCAAGCTGTCTCTAAACAACAGTCATTTTCAACCATTTGCTTTCTGGTTTGCTGAAGAGGAGAACGCAGTGATGTTAGACAACAAAAATGATTCCTGGGAGTTTATCCCCAACTGGTAACACTATGGTCCTTAAACCACACCCATGTGTGCATAAGTACACACTCGTACACACACACATACACATCAGATTCAATGTCCCTCCAGCTACAGCAAAGATATCACTTAATGTCTAAAGACATTTTTAAAAACCCTCATGAATAGGTTCTCAAGACATTCTTTATAATAAAGTACAGTACTTCATTTAGCTATCAAATAATAACTATGCTTTGTTGAATACTTGAGGTCATGATTCACATCTGAGTTTAGAAAGTGGCCACCTCCTACATATTCACTTAAAATGCGAATTCCTCATCAGATTCCACATCTAAAGAAGCACAGAGCCCAATTCTGGCCAAGCCCCATCTTTGCTCACAGCAGAGCCAAAGTCCCAGAAACTTTTTCCATACCCAGCCCACCAAAATTTAAGTCCTCAGTGAATCACTATTCCATCTATGTGAGTATGCACACAATTTTCAAATAAAATGACTTGAAACTGACAATGAATGTGGGCAAAGAAAGAAAACTGAATAATCATGCAAGTTGTAATGCTTCACTAAAGTTTAGAAAAAATCAAGGAAAAATTAATCTCGGAAACTCTATGCCTTCCAACCAAGGTTACTTTGAAATGTAAAGTGAATTGATATCTTTCATCAGTCTATGACATACCGAAGATCCATGAGATTGGGAGGAAAAAACCTGAGTATGTCAGAGCTATTTATTTTCCGTTTCCTACGTTTCCCATAATTACCTATCAAATGAATGTGGGAGAGTTTGTTATGCAGAATTGATCTGAAATACATCAGTCCCTTTTAAATTCTCTTTTCTCCCTATCGCATAAAATATCCTAGAATGGAGTCAAAAATGAACCAGGACTTTGGGGCCAAGAACAGGGCTTTGGGTAATTTAGTAATCTCGCACTCTCCAGTGCAGAGGCCAAACCACTGGGGAGCCGAGGCAAAGGACTCGCAGGGCACGATAAAGTGACGCTTCCGAATGGTTAAAGCCGAGATTGCTCTGCCGCAGCCCAGGCTGTTCTCGCCATGAACCCGAGTACAAGTTTTCTAAATGTTTTTCCCAAGATCCCGAGATCAATTTCAAACGCTGTTCCTCTCAAAAGTCCCAAAGGAGACTCGCTCACCCACCCCACCCTGCAAGCAGCGCACTTCCTGTTCTCTCGGGCCGGTCAGGAACTCTAACTTGACAGTGACACACACTGAAAAAAAAAAAAAAAAAAGGAAGTGGCTACAAGACCATTTCAAGACATTTACTTAATTTCTTTTGAAAAGGGAGATCCATCGCAGGAAAGTTTCAATGGGACGAAGCCATCACACCCGCTTGCTTGAAAGTCGCAGAGAATGTCAACTTTGTAAAACCGAGGGCGACACCACTTTTAAAATACACTTTTTAAAAAATCTTCGAAATCCTCTTGCTATCCAAAACGATCCCTCCCCTTTCGCGAACGCAACAGAGCTAGCAAACTCCTCTCCTGGTGGGTCGCATCTCGAGAGCGAGGGTCCGGGCCGGGTCTGCCCGGCCAAGTGGCAGAGGAAGCTAGCAGGGCACCGAGGCGGTCGGGGGACCCGGCGAGCACCTCCCTTACCTGGTTTGACCGGTTTGGGTGGCGGCTTCGCCATCTCGCTTCCTGGAGCAGCTGATCCTGAAGACGACGCACGAAAAGCCCAAGGAACGCCCCGCCAGCCGGCGCTCGGTCAACCAAAGCTCCTGGTGGTCCGGTCTGCAGCGGTGCGCCTTCCAGGACCTGCGCCCACCCTCGGCGGCAGGACTAGCGGACGCAGGCAGAGGGGCTCGGCGCAGTCCCTGCCCCGCCCCGCGGCCGCCCAGCCGTCCAGAGCGCGCGGCCGGGCTGACGAGGAAGTGGCCGCCGCCTCGCCGAGCGCTCATTGGCTCCCGGGCTGGCAGCTGCGGCGCGGCGGCGGGGGCGCGGCGGCGGGGGCGCGGGAGCGCGGGCGGCGGAGCCAGCCGGAGTCTAGCCAGGGCGCTGCCGGCGCGCGCCCCCGACGAGATAGGGCTGGACCCGCAGGGGCGCGCGCAACCACGCTCCCCGGAGCCCGGCCCCGCCCTACGGGGTCTGCAGCGGGCGTCCCGCGGGGTGGGCTGATCCCTCCGTTAATGACCTGTACCTGGGCCGCCTCTGACCCGGGAGGGGCGCAGTGGGAGGAGCGCAGGGGCAAGGGCAAGGGCCTCTGGGGAGCGAGCTGTGGGCTTGCGGCGGGTTAGTGACCGGCGCGCCGGGCCATCGCCTCTGCCGCGTTGCCGGGGAGGACTAGAAAGTCCGGGTGAGTACCTGCCTGACCCCGCCGCGCCGCGCAGCCTCGCCCGGTGGGGCCTAGAAGTGTTTTCAGAGTGTCCCTCTGCTGGAGCCCGAACCTGGTTGCGTCTTGCAAGTCCCGTTGGGCCTCTGACACCCTCGCCGGGCCGATACGGAGCCTGCCACGTGTACTCGTGCTGATTTGGTGCTTTAACGCCCCGCAATAATCCTTAAAATGGGAGTCTGCCTCCCACAGATCGTCCAGATGGTGGGGCGAGTCACCCGGGACAAGACCAGGTCTTGATCCCCACGGAGGAGGTCTTGTATCCTCCGGCATTGGGGTTGACTAACTCTACTGCCCCCTGCCTCCTGTTATCGTAGGGCCTGCTAACCAAGAACGGTTTTTACATTTTTATATGGCTGGAAAGAGGTTACAAGAATATTTTGTGACACGTGAAAATTATATAACATTCACATTCCAATGTCCAGAAAGTGTTAGGAACACAGCCACGCTCAGTTGCTTATGTATCGTCTGTGGCCGCTCTCACTTCATAAGAGCTGCGCGCAAAGTCGGAAACATTCACTATGTAGCTAGCACTTTGCAAACGTGTGCCCACCCATCACCTAGCAAATTGAATCGCCAGTGGGAGCAAGGGCTGGAGCACACACGAAATGCAGCGTTTATAAGTTCGAAATAGCACAGTCAGTATTATACACCAACTGTGTATTTGGGGAAAGAAAAATGGAAAAGAAAGAGAAGCTTTCTACATGAGACTCTATGTAAAATGAAGTTTCGAAACTTACACCAGGGGTTAGTGAAAGGTGGAGTGATTCCAAGGGAAAGGGAAATCTTTTGCATATTCAGAAACTTTAGCCAAATTGCTCTTTTCAAAACGTGGAAAAGCAGAACACTTCGTTAGCATATTGTCATTGGTCTGCCAAACAGTTTGTGTTAGGGAGTTACTATTTTCATATTATTTGCTGATTCTGCACATGCCACCTCTGACTATTTTGCAGTTTGGAATCCAAAATGTACCAACTTGAGTAGTGAAATAAATGAAATATTATAAGCACCAGCTATGAAAAAAAAGGACTCAACAATATATTTTACTTAGGGTAAAAGGAAGTAGTTAAAATTACTTATTTTGGGTTTGCTAATGGATATCTTAGTCGCTTCTCCTACCCCTATGCAAATGCTCTGTGCTGCTGAGGAAAGCTTTGCACTTATTGGGAGAATAAAGCGCGTTAATATCCCATGAGATGGGGGGGGGTGCTTATATTCCTAGTAATTGAATGCCCTGCATTGATGAGACTGGAAAGTCCAAATGGTTGTCTCTCTGGAGACATTCAGTGATTAACAGTGTGTAGTTGATCAAATTTGTTTGCTTCATGGAGGCTGCTGCTGTGCATACATACAGTATTTAGAGACTGGCAACTCTTGATTGAAAACTTTTGAAATGTGATTTTAAAATAGTTCTTAAAGAGGGCTACAGGCAGTGAAATAACAGAACCTGGTGTTGAGGTGGACAGTGCCAGGCCTGAACTTAGGAATCACCAGAAGCTGCCCTGTGCATCCAACACTGTCTGAAATAAATGGCTTCTGGGATTTCTACACCCCCTACCATCCCTGCTACTCATCCCAGTCAAAGATCTTGCTTCTGCTGCTTCCAGTTCCCCACCCTTCCCACCACATTGTCATCTGTTCGTTGCTAATGGACTGTACCCAACATTTGCCCAAGCACTGACTTGGACAGGCTAAGACTACTAACTAATATAGAACCGAGGGTTCCTGTTTTGGTAAAAACTTGTATTGGACTGGGGGAGTTCCCTCCTGAGCCCAAGAGAATTTATAATAGTAGGTTCTTGACTCTCACTCCTAGTTTCTGAATTGCTAGAGTTTCCGCCCAAATAATCCCCTCAAGCCTGTTTCCAGGGCCACAACCACACTCATTACTTACATGCTATGTAATTGATACAGTATCCTAATGTGTATGCACAAGTGTGGCAAGAAGCACAGGGGACCAGTAGTCCTTGCCATGTAGTGTGCAGAGAAAATATACACCCATCAATAATACATCAAGAAAAAGGACATTAATTATACATGAGCCTCACAAGCCAGCGCACGTGCACCATTTTTTCTTTGCTCTTGGTAATAAAGTGCTTTTTAGCAGCTTGGAAAGAGGTCTAGTTTTGTTTCTCCCTTTTCCAAAATATACTAGCTGTGTTACCTTGGGCAAGTCAATGCATTTTCTGGGCTAGTTTCAACTGTAAAATGAAGGGGTGGACTAAGTGAACTCCCTAAGCCAGCGTGGGCAAACTACGGCCCGCGGGCCGGATCTGGCCTGTTTGAAATGAATAAAACTAAAAAAAAAAAAAAGACCGTACCCTTTTATGTAATGATGTTTACTTTGAATTTATATTAGTTCACACAAACACTCCATCCATGCTTTTGTTCCGGCCCTCCGGTCCAGTTTAAGAACCCATTGTGGCCCTCGAGTCAAAAAGTTTGCCCACCCCTGCCCTAAGCCATCCTTTCACACGAGAAAGGACATTTATCAACAAAAAAGTAGGAAAGGTACCCTCTCAAGATAAAGGGCAGCCTTCTCTTCCCACCCCACCCCCCAAAAAAATAGTTGCCACCCTTGCACTGACATATTAAAAATAAGAACAGGGTAAAATTAAACCCAAAAGAAAAATGATGTGGGCAAAAAAAGCGGTCACATACTAAACCTGACCAGCTCAAGGGAGGCCTGTGTGGCGGGCCTTACACACAGAGACTGAAAGGAACCATACAGGATGGTCATAACATAAATATTCCTGCCTCAAAGCTAGTCATGGCAGGTGTCACATCCTGGGCCTGGACCTTCCTTGACAAAGGTTCGGTTTTTACCTTAAGTAAGTCTGTCTGTGGTCTTTTTGCATCTAAGATAACAAACCCTTGGAATGTCAGTGTAATCTCCTTTTTCCAGACCCCACAGAGTATAACCTCACACCAGGGCATGGGACCACACCACCCCTCACTGTTATCTTTTCCCCAAATACCATCCCTGTGTGCTGTGAATGTTCATTGTTAACTCTCCTGTACCCACCAGTGTAAAAGAAGTGTCTCTCTGTTTTGTTCCTTATCCAATCCAGGGATTTCCCGTTTTGCTTTATCCCACCTCCCTATCACCAATGAATTTCATGTAACCCCCCTTCTGTCTCTTCCTTTGTTTTTAATGTATAAAATAAGCAGCAAAACTACCATTCTCCAGAGCATTTTTTCAATCCGTTGAGATTTGGCTTCCCAGCAATTGTCAGTTTGGCTCAAATGAACTCATAAACAAAAAAAAGTCTACAGATTTGGACGTTCTTACGTAGACAATTACAGCATAAAAATTTACGGTACTCATTGTCTATAATCGGTCCCTTGACATGCTTGGTCAATTTGGGTGGGATATATATTCAATAATGCAACTCCTGGTGAAACTCAGATGTCCAACGTGTTCTGTTATTGTATTTTTAGCATAGTCATTATTGAATTCTTGTCTCACATAGGCATGTTAATGAAAGTGGGACCGAACCTTAAGCTATTGCTCTCAGTTTGGAATATTCTGGGTAAACTGAGCAGACGCCAAAGAACAACCGCCCCTGTGTACCAGGCTCTTCTCCCCACCACCTCTCCCCAGGGGACGTCTGGACACAGGTCAGAGATAGGAACCAGGGAGGCTGCTGGGAACCCCCAGCTCAGGGGCCACTCCCCAGGAACAGCACAGCTTAGATTCCTGATCAGCCAAGCAAAGCAGTCAGGGATAAAGAGCAGCTTTCTAAGGCTCCCTCCACTGACCTTTCCCTTTTCACGTAAAAAGGTGAAACTGGCCCATTGGAAGGGACTGCTGTGATGAACCTTAGATGGCCATGTGTGAAACTGCCTTCCAGCCCCTAGACCAGGGGGGTCAACAGACCAGGGTCTTGTGCCTAAAACCTGGCCCTCTGCTTCAACATTTGCCATCAATTTTCTGATAGGGAGCACAAACTTGCAAATCCAGTAAGGGAAATGTTATCCAAAAAAAAAAAAAAAAAGAAGAAGAAAAGAAAAGAATTCCATTCTTTTCATTAGTAGACATGTATTACCCAAAAACAGTTGTACTCAATTATTATTATGTCTTGACTGTTATAAAAAACATAGTGGAGATTTGTTTTCTCTCTCATATAAATACCTACATAATAACCTGGATTTTGCCTCTTTACCCACAAAGCCTCTAACATTTACTGCCTATCCCATTTCTGAAAAAAAGTTATCTACCCTAGCCTCAGACCTAGGCTTTTGGGTGGGGAAATAGTGCCCTTAACGCAGAGGGTGCAGAGGGGAAAGAGAGAGACAGAGAGAAGCTCTGTGGTTACCTCCGTGGAGAAAATGGATCATGTCCAAGTGATTGAATCAAGCAGGTAAAAGGCGACCTGGCTGAGGGACAGGGTATAAAACTGTAGGGTGCTCTGCAACCTCGCAGCTCTTCCACAGCCTTGAAAACACACCTTCAAGGGTATCCTTTCAGTTCCCTTGACTTGGGCACACAGGCGCTGAGCACGCACCATCTGTGGGCAGTTAGCAGGAGAGTGTGGCCGAGAGAAGCCAGCACAGGCGTACCTCGTTTTACCGTGCTTTACGGACGTCACGTGTGTTTTTTTTTACAAATTGAAGTCAAGACCCTCCACCAGCAAAAAGATTATGACTACCTTTATTACAGGGTGCAACTGAACCCACAGTATCTCCAGGGTGTGCCTGTACCGTGTGAAGCTCCTCCACAGAATGTGGATAGTCCAGGGCTGTGCCATCTGTCCCCTCAGCTGGCCCTCCCAGTGTAGGACTCTTTCTTTTACCTCTTCAGACATCTAAATGATAACCATTCAAAAATTTTTTTTTTAGGAAATTTCAGAAGACATTTTCAAAGCTAATCATGAAAACATTTGTCATTGGGATTGGTGGGTGAGTAATTTTGCTACACACAGCTGGTCAAGACACTCAGGATGCCCAAAGGGTGTTTTCATGTGGACGTGATGGGGGAAGGAGAAGCAGTGAGGATTCCCGAGTCCTGGAGAACAGGCCAGTTTCAAATGTAAAATGGAGCCCTGGCTGCATAAATGCCAACAGGAGGCGGAAGAGTTTCCTTGTAAACAGAAAAACAGGAGAGTCAATAAGCTACTTTATCATTTATTTTCTATACCAAAGGCAAGGCCTGATCAGATGCTATTTAGGTCCAGGACGGTTTCATTCTCCAGATGGCTGCTCCCTCAGTGTGACGTTGGAGAGAAGCTATCATTTCTTTGCTGTTACGCCCAGCTTTGGATATATGGAATGTGGAACCACCTCACTTGGCTGGTGTGGTCAGCTAAAATGGACCTCCCACCTGTCCCCAAAGTGGAAAGCGATCAGGGGAAAGGAGACATTGCAGAGGGAGAGGTGAATTCATGATAGGTGGGCTTATAATAAGCCACTCCTCCATTTTTCTCCACTGTGCATTGAAAAAGAATCTCGATGACCAAATGCAGTTTTATATATTTGCATTAAAATGTACTGCTCATATTCTGTGTTGCATATAACCCTGTGAATGTTTCACTATAGACAAAAAAAATTCTTTTGTTTTCAACAATAGCTGTATTTAGTCTTGGTATTACCCAGTTCACTTGCCCAGTAGTTAGTTACCTTTCTCCTCAATCTTTCCCAGCTTATTTCTTTTTTTGAGAATATATTTTTATTGATTTCAGAGAGGAAAGGGAGAGAGAGATAGAAATATCAATAATGAGGGAGAACCATTGATCGGCTGCCTCCTGCTGGGGATCAAGCCCACATCCTGGGCATGTGCCCTGACGGGGAATCAAACCGTGACCTTCTGGTTCATAGGTTGATGCTCAACCACTGAGCAGCACTGGCCAGGCCCCAGCTTATTTCTTATAATTTATTGCACCGTCTACTTATGCCTTGGTTTTCTCTACAGAAAAACATTATCTGTGAAAGAAATAATTTTTCTTAGATATTAGATATTGTTTTAAATGTTCTTTTTCTAAGATATTTTTAATGTTTTATATTTTTTAATGTAACTTTCTTCTTGGTACTTTCAGTATTTTTACGAAGTTTCTCTTTTTTTTTTTGGTTCAGTGTGACAAATGGTGGGAAGACAACACTGGCAAAAAAATTGCAAAAACATCTCCCAAACTGCAGTGTCATATCTCAGGATGATTTCTTTAAGGTATCTTTAAAACTTCTTAGATAATTTATTTAACACAAAAGAAGTTCTAGTAGCAAAGTTGATTGTATTACATCCAAAAAGCCTTTTTTGAGTGATAAAGCTTTTGTAGTGAAGGTAGAGTCAATGCAATATCCACTAGGTGGCACCACTATCGCGGCTGTTCTTTGATTTTATTTATCCTCATTCAATGCATTTATTAAAGATTTATCGCCTCTTCATTGTATAATTGTATTATTTCTGCATTGCACAGTTTTTATGGGTACTTTATTATTTTTTCAGCCACCATCTGAGATAGAGACAGATAAAAATGGATTTCTGCAGTACGATGGTAAGTAGATGAGCTTGTGAAAATATTACACCCTAATGTTCATTTTCTTTTTCAAACCCAAATATGGTGCTAACTATGAAGACATTCTCAAAGTGTGTTTAAATACATATTACTGTACTTTGAATGTGCTTTTGTAGAGGTTTCTGACTTATGTTCAGCTATTTTTATTTATTTATATATACATACATATTTTTCTTGATTTCAGAGAGGAAGGGAGAGAGAGATAGAACATCAGTGATGAGAGAAAATAATTGATCGGCTGCTTCCTACATGCCCCCTACTGGGGATCGAGCCCACAACCGGGTATGTGCCCTAACCGGGAATCGAACTGTGATCTCCTGGTTCATATGTCGATGTTCAACCACTGAGCCACACCGGCCAGGCTGTTCAACTATTTTTAAAAATGATTTATATTCCCCAGTTTTATATTTAAAACTGAAAACTTTGGAATGATATAGATTTTTTTCTTCTGCAGCTAGGGCAAGGTGGGTACTCCAGTCATCCGTGCCTGGGGAATATAACTACTTCCCTTCCCTACCCTCAGTCTTACCTGGGGCAAACTTAAAGCACTCATCTTCTGAGCTTTCCTTTCCAGTGACCACGGTGGTCTGAACAGTTGATTTTTTTTCTTTTCATTGATCAAAAACCATAATGAATATATTTTAGATGGATTCACCTCACTCCTCTACCCAATCTAACACTGCTTTGAAGCCAAAGGATTAAAGTCCATGAGTAAAAGTTTATTTTCCTATAAAGAATGTCATGCTATAATATAGCAGCTATACCCTAGCCGGTTTGGCTCAGCGGATAGAGCATCGGCCTGCGGACCAAAGGGTCCCTGGTTTGATTCCAGTCAAGGGCACGTACCTTGGTTGCAAGCTTCTAGTCAGGACTCATACAGGAGGCAACCAATTGATATGTTTCTCTCACATTGATGTTTCTCTCTCTGTCTTTCCCTCTCTGTTCCACTCTCCCTAAAAACCAATGAAAAAACAAATGTCATGCTAATAAACTATATTTAATGGTATTATCAACTTTTATAATTAACAAGATAATCATTGAGAGCTTATCCAAACTAGCAACCAAGGAAATTATCTTGAGGAGCCATAAAATATGTTCTTTATTTTTTAACCTTGATAACCTTGGAGGTAAAATGTTGTGTAGTCAGTTCTTACAGACACATGATAGTTTTAAGAGAGGCAAAGTCCTTGAGTTGCTGTCTGTTCATGTGTCTTGAGCTACAGTCAAGATATTTTTTTCTTCTCTTCCCTTCTTCTAAAGGTTAGTAAGGAAGATTATACAAAGTAAGAGTTAAACAAGGAAACATTGTTTTCAACAATTGATGAAGGATTATTCCTAATTTAAATGAGTCCTTACAAACTAATAAGACAAACACTTATATCCCAATTGAAAAAAATGTCCAAGGATGTGAATAAGCTATTGACAGAAGGAAAAGGTTATTGATAATGCGCAATAAAAAGTCAACCTCAAAGGTACAGGGACATCCTCCAATCACGGAGCATTGAATTAGAAATTAGAAATCAATAACTAAAGAGGAAGTAAAATGCCAAGTGTTTGCAAAATAAGCAGTACCCTTTTTTTTCCTGATTTTTAAAAACTTTAACTTTAGCCCTAACCGGTTTGGCTCAGTGAATAGAGCGTCGGCCTGCGGACTGAAAGGTCCCAGGTTAGATTCTGGTCAAGGGCATGTATCTTGGTTGTGGGCACATCCCCAGTAGGATGTGTGCAGGAAGCAGCTGATCTATGTTTCTCTCTCATTGATGTTTCTAACTCTATTCCTCTCTGTAAAAAAATCAATAAAATATATATATATTTTTTTTAAAAACTTTATTTTTATTGTTGACACTATTATAAATGTCCCCATTCCCCCCCTTTGCCCACCTCCACCCAGCTCCCACCCCCTTCCCTCTGCCCATCACCACAGTTATCTGTGTCTATGAGTTATGCATATATGTTCTTTGGCTAATCCCTTCACCTTCTTTCATCCAGTTTCCCCCATCCCCCTCCTATCTGACAGTTGTCAGTCTGTTCCATATATCCTTGCCTCAGTAAAAACTTTTCCTAATAAGGGAAAATTTTAAACATATACAAAAGTAGGCAAGCCCTAGCCGGTTTGGCTCAGTGGATAGAGCATTGGCCTGCGAACTGAAAGGTCCCAGATTCGATTCCAGTCAAGGGCACATGCCCAGGTTGTGGGCTCGATCCTCCATGGGGGGCTTTTAGGAGGCAGCTGATCAATGATTATCTCTCATCATTGATGTTTCTATCTTTCTCTTCTTCTTCCTTCCTCTCTGAAATCAATAAAAATATAATTTAAAAAAAAGTAGGCAAGAAAGTATAATGAACTCTCATGAGTTCAACATCCAGCTTTAAAAATAATGAACTCTTGGCCAATTTTATCTAGACCCTCACTCACTTTCTCCTATATTATTTTGGAGCAAATCCCAGACATCATCCATTTTATCTGAAGCAAAATATTTTTATAGCCCATGACTTAAAGAATAAATCATAATGAAAATTAGAAAATATTTTTAATTCAGTAATAATGAAAATATATTAATACTAACGGTATTTCTGGTTCCAGCCAAAATGGATTGGCCCCATTCCTAACTATTTCTTCCTCTTACTAAAAACCCTGGATGAAATACAGCAAACAAAGGAAAGACTCTGAAAAATGAAAGGAAGAGAGCAGACTGACTAGGGACTTCAGGCCTTGAGGAATAACATGGCTGTGAGTTACCAGAGATTTCTTTTTTCCTCTTATGTATTCAAGAAGGGGTGCTGGAGAAGTGTGCAACATGGAACCATCAACAGATACAGACAACAAACAAACAAACCAGGAAACCTATTCCCTAGTCAAAGGACCAGAAAAGGATGTCCCAGCAGAATAGAAAATCATTTTCACAATATCCACCCTACTCAAGCCAAAGGGAAAAAAACCAAATCACTTTCCCCTCATGATGTCAGCAGGGCCAAGTGGGGAGCAAGACTTCTGAGCCCATCGCACTAGTAAGGTGGGGTGAGGTGGCCCTCCATGTCATCCATAGGGATCATATCAGTGGAACAAAACGGTGACTGAACTTCCACCCCCGCCCAGCAGCAAAGAGGCAGGATGAGGTAGTGTGAGGTGGTGCTAGTTGTACTCCACACTTTTTTTGCCCAGATAGTCAGCTTCTATCAGCAGAACTCAGTGAAGAGCTGAACTTGACCCTTTGCTGAGCAGCAATGAAGCCACACCAGCACTTTAATTTTCCCTGTCTCCCTTCATGGCAATCCCTTCCGCACTAAGTATCAGTGAGGCCCAGCCAGGAGCCAAACATCCCCTCATATGGGCAATCTACACCCAAACAGGTGACTACGTGCAAAGAAAGAAGAAGAGATAGGCTTAAGAACCTTGCAACATAATATCCAACATTTCAGAACAAGACTGAGTATCACTTGTCATATTGAAAACCAGGCAATTCTCAACTTGAGTGAGAAAAGGCAATCCACAGACACCAACTTCCCTCTCCATGTTGACACAGATGTTGGAATTACCTGACAAAGTGTTTTAAAGCAGTGTTTATTAAAAGGCTTCAGCGGAAAATAAAATAAAAATAAAAGGCTTTAGCGAGCAATTGTGAACATTCTTGCGTCAAGTGAAAACTTAGAAAGCCTCAGTAAAGAAATGCCAGATATAAAAAAGAGCCAAATTGAAAGTTTAGAACTGAAAACAAATAATAACTGAAATTTTAAAACTCACTGGATCAGCTCAACAGAATAAATACGATAGAGGAAAGAATCCGTGAACTATGAAACAAAACAACAGAAATTATTCAATCTAAACAACCGAGAGAAAACAGAATGAAAAGAAATTAACAGAAATATGGACAATAACAAAAGATCTAACATATTATTGGAGTCTAAGAAGGGGAGGAGAAAGAGTGTGGTGCTGCAAAAGTATATGAAGTACCCTGGTCAGGTAGCTTAATTGGTTAGAGCATTATCCCGATATGCCAAGGTTGCAGGTTCAATCTCTAGTCGGGAAGAAGCAACCAATGAATGCATGAACAACAAATTGATGTTTCTCTCTCTCTCTCTCTCTCTCTCTCTCTCTCTCTCATCAATTTTTTTTAAAAAAATTAAGTAAAACAAAAGTAATGGTGTAAAACATCTCAAATTTGGCATAAGGCATAAATCTACATATGCAAGAATCTGAGTGATCCCCAAACAGGTTACACAACACTGTTCAAGAAAAAAAAAAAAAAGCTCTAGCCGTTTTGACTCAGTGGATAGAGTGTCGGCCTGCAGACTGAAGGGTCCCAAAGGACTGAAAGTATGCTTGATTCTGGCCAAGGGCACGTACCAGTCTGGGCCCTGATGGGGCAAGTGCAGGAGGCTACCAATCGTTGTGTCTCACATGGGTATTTCTCTGTCTTTTCCCTCTCTCTTCCACTCTCTCTAAAAATCAATGGAAAAATATTCTCGGGTTAGGATTAAAAATAAAAAACAGCACAACAATAACAACAACAACAAAAACAGGAAAGGCACAAATTACAAATACCAAAAACAAAAAAGTAATAGCATTACAGATGCTACCTACATTAAAAGGCTAAGAGGGTATTATAAACAACTTATGTGAATACATTAGAAAACAAATAAAATTTACTATTTCCCAAAAAATGTAACTTACCAAGACTAACACCAGAACAAATAGAAAATCTTAGTAGCCCTATATCTATTAAATAAATTAAGGATTAATTAATAAAAACCTCTAAGCCCAGATGACCCAATTCAGTACTTCTGGAGTGAGACTCAGAATTCGCCTTCCTCTTAAATTCCCAGGTCATGCTGAGGCTGCTGGCCAAGGTACCACACTTTCAGAATCATTTTTATAACTGTCAGCCGAAAAGTATGCTCATGTTAGAGTTTGAAAATGACATATCTGTGTTCTTTGTAAAAGTTTTAATGGTTTTCCTCTTGTTTATCTGTAAGAGCTCTTTATATATTGAAAATATTTGTTCTTTAACAAACACATTGTAGATATTTTCCTCAGAATGTCATATATCTTTCAAACTAATTTGTAGATATTTTTTCATCCAAAAATGTTAGACTTTCATGTAGTCAGGGGGTAGTAGAAATTATAAATAAAGCAAGATTCGCCATGAGTTTATGATTGTCAAAGCTGCTCATGAGGACATGGAAGTTCATTGTACTTCACTCTCTACTTTTGTATAGGTATCAAATGTCCCATAATAAAAATGTTTCACACATACCCATCTAGCAATATTAGAGTTTAAAAGTATCTAAAAGATTTGTTACTGGGTTTTTTGAAGGGTAAATAGTTGTTTAATATATTTAGCAAGCCCGGAATATACTCATATCCTCATCATAACACTTTTTTGGTACTGGTTTCTCATTTTTGTATGTTGTTTGAAGTGCTTGAAGCGCTTAACATGGAAAAAATGATGTCCACCATTTCTTGCTGGATGCAAAGCCCGAGACACTCTCCGGTATCAACAGAGAGAAACACTGAGGACGTTCCCGTATTAATCATCGAAGGTTTCCTTCTCTTTAATTATAAGTAAGCATCCTCACTCAGATATTGACTTGGAATGAATGGGAGGGAAACCCCTGTGAACTGAATATGCTATTATCTTAGGCCCCTTGAGTCTATATGGAATAGAAGATACTTTGTGACCATTCCATATGAAGAATGTAAGAGGAGGAGGAGGTAAGTTTTGAAACTGCCTTTGTAGATGTTGATTGAAAAGACAAAATTTACAAAAAATGAGGACAGCAACATTATTGAGCAATATGTATATGTCATTTTTCAAACAAGAGAAGCCTCAGCTCTTTACATAAGGAAAACCTTTTTCCATAAATAATCATCCACGTGAACAAATACAAATTACTTTTCTAAGAAAAGGCCCTGTAGGAGCTATTTGGATGATTTCTCCTAAATCTTTAAATGAAACAATTCCATGTTGATGACTTTAAATTAGTTGGCCTATATTCTGCTATAGCCACAAAGAACACCAATTACTTTAAAGCTCAATCCTGCATATTTCATCATTATTTACATTGATATTTGTCTCTTAATTATTTTATTAAAAAAATTGAGAGGGAAAAGATAATATATAGTGAATTAGAAGATTAATTTTTAGATGAGCAAGCTAAATTCATTTTATTGTCTTTGTAACTGGCATTGAGTCTGAAATGTATAGTCTTAATCCTGTTTAGATTCGATCTCAGTGATTTTTTTTTTATTATCCTGACCATTATTATTTTACTTTATTGATGTGTGTTTCTATCAACAAAGTTTCCTACCTGTTTTGACAGCACGAGGGTCTATGAGCCTCCAGACCCCCCAGGGTACTTTGATGGCCACGTGTGGCCCATGTATCTAAAGCACAGACAAGAAATAGAGGACATTGAGTGGGAAATTGGTAAGTGCCTTTCTCCCTCCATGGGAGACCTTAAACCTGTCATTTCCAGAAAGTACACAAAATTCAGAAGGAATGTTTCTTTTTTTTTTTTTTTTTTTTTTTTTTAAATATATTTTATTGATTTTTTTACAGAGAGGAAGGGAGAGAGATAGAGAGTTAGAAACATCGATGAGAGAGAAACATCGACCAGCTGCCTCCTGCACATCTCCCACTGGGGATGTGCCCGCAACCCAGGTACATGCCCTTGACCGGAATCAAACCTGGGACCTTTCAGTCCGCAGGCCGACGCTCTATCCACTGAGCCAAACCGGTTTCAGCGAGGAATGTTTCTTATGTATGTGTTATATTATAAAGGAAACTATAAGCTGTAGCATTCGGGGCTCCCGTCTTCCACAACAGGCTCTCCTGGCTTCTGCTTATCTCTCTATGGCTCTTGTGAATAGCTTGTCAACTTCTAGGTGGTCATTTGTTCAATAAATATGGATTGAATATTTTCAATGTACAGATATTGAACTGGTGATATATATCAAGGGAAATAAGGCAGATCCAGTCCATACTCTTATGAGCCAACATTCTACTATTGAAGCAAACGTTAAACTAGCTACATGAGCATGTCCTTTCCAGCTGTGCTGAGTACTATGACAGCGAGCTGTTAGGGCACTGCCTAAGTCCCAGTGATCCAGCCACATGTCAACTGACAGGATTAACTAGAGAAAGGGAAGAGTGTTGGGATGGAAGATCACCCCAGTGGGTGTGATACATAGAAAGGCTAGGGGGCAGGAAGAAATGATCAGCATCCGGAAGTGGAGAGGGTATATTTGTGGAGAGAAAACCAAGGACAAGAAGTGCTGCTGGTAATACAGGAAAGATCCTAACCCTACAAGGCTATATAAGCCAGTTAAGGGCTTGGGTCATTATCTCAATAAAAGTAGGAAGCCCTCTACAGACAGGTTTGAACGAGGACATGTTAGATATCAGATTCTTGTAAGATATCTCTGGCTATGTGGAGGGTGGGTGTAGAGGATGCAATATTGGGCAAATGTGCTCAATAGAACTGGATGGTAGTATAGATAGGGTGGGTCCAGGAAATCAAGGTGTCGAGGACAATACCTTGGAACCTGGCAGGTACTGTTTTGGAAAAGAGAAAAAAGTGGAGGAGTTGCAGGTTTGGAAGGTAAGAATGCAAGTCTGTTTGCATTCTTAAGATGCCTGAGAGACATAAAGTGGCGATTTGGGGGTAAACATCTGGATCTGTGAGCCCAGGCTCAGAACAGACCTCTGGAATACAGGGCTCAACACGGAGAAACTACAGGAAGCCGAGAGAGAAGGCTCTTGGTTGGAGCAGAAGCAGCAGGACTGATGCACACTTTTCAGAATGAAGGGAGTTGCCCATATTGGGAAAAGCTCCGTGGCCTCTTCTTCAGTCAAGTTCAACCCCTTCTCCCCATCCACAGAGCCACTTCGGGGGTTCTAGCCACAACACTTCCTCTTCTCACTGTTCCTCTCTCCCTCTCCATCTAAAACGCAAATCTAACTATGTCCCTGCCTTGCTTGATATCTTCATAGTCTCCAGCTCTCCGGTAAAACCCCCACACAGCCAGACATCAAGGCCTCTAAAGACAAAGGCACAGCCTTGCTCCAAAACCGAAACCTACTCTCTCCACTGTTTCTGCCTCCCCACATTCTAGGTTTTCCTAATGGTGCATCTTATTAACAGGCAGAATTCTCTCCTACCTCCTACCTCTGCAGGTTTCTGACTAGAAAGCCTTTTCCTTCCTTTAACATACATAACTTCTACTTTTTCTCCAAGACTTACTATGCCAGTTTTATTAAAAATATGTATCTTCTGGGCCCGGCTGGAGTGGCTCAGTGGTTGAGCGTTGACCTATGAACAAGGAGGTCACAGCTGATTCCTGGTCAGGGCACATATCTGGGTTGCGGGCTCAATCCCCAGTGGAGGGCATGCAGGAGGCAACTGATCAATGATTCTCTCTCATCATTGATGTTTCTATCTCTCCCTTCCTCTCTGAAATATATATATCTTCTGGGCCTGAAGAATTCTGACTCAGTATATATGTGGGGAGCCCAGACCCCTACATGGTTTAAGAAGCTTCACAGATAATCTTGATGCATCAGTAAGTGGGATAACTACTCTCTTACATGATTCTTTCAGGGACGCACCTCTTCAGTCCATATACACAATGCCATTTAATTATTTTCCTTTCTTTTTCTTCCATTAAAAAAAAGTAATAATGTTCTTATTAACTAGTGTGCATTTCTCTGTAGTTAACCAAAAATTTTTACCTGTTGTTCCTAGCTATAATGTACTTCGCTCTCTAATGGCTATTCAGTTATTTTTATTTTATGGTCCTGGGTTCTTTGGTTAAACCTACTAGTATTTTCAAGAGATATCAGGTGCCAAAGTAAGCATGCTATCTTAATAAGCCTGTTAGCATTTGACTTGTCTCTTTGTCCCTTTTCAGTTTACCTGGATGGAACAAAATCTAAAGAGGACCTCTTTTCACAAGTGTATGAAGATCTAAGACAAGAACTGGCAAAGCAAAAATGTAAGTATTGTCCTAAGGAACAGCTAGGAGTATAGTTCATTACATACCTAAGAATGGCATACCAGAATGCTAATGTAAGAATGACTTACATTCACTGCTTTGAAGGTAATTCAGAATCAGACTCTGGATGGGTTTGAGGACTTGATCAATTTTTTAAGGGTGAAAATATCCATCCTTTGTTATACCTCTTAATATTTTGTTATATAGTTTAAATATTTTAGTAGATAGCTGCTATTTCAATAAGACTGAAATGATCCTTTGGCCAAGTGAAGTTAAAATGCTGGTGATTTTGTTTGTTTTAATATGTCTCAGAGCTCCCCTTCTCCTTATTCCTCTCAAAGATTTTTTCATGAATTTGTTTCCCAGATACCTCAAAAGTAAGCATAAGGCTTAAAAAATTATTTACTGAGTGTTTCGTTAAGATTTTTATATTAGACAACACATTTGCAAGTGAGAGAAATCCTCCTACATTTTGCTTAAGCAAAATCAGTACAGGAGTGGCAGTCACTGACAGACATCATGTCTGTTAGAAGCACTGTCCTTTTAGCTCCAACAGCCCCAGTGGAAAAAGACAGTTTACCCTTTTTCAAGATTGTTCCTGAATTGATAAATGTTGAAGCTGGGTGTTGGTTACAAGGGGTTTACATATAATTCTCACTGCTTTTGCAAATGTTTAAAAAATTTTAAAGTTTTTTTAAATTTTATTTTTCAAGTACAGGTGACATTCATATTATTTTATATTAGTTTCAGCATAGTGGTTAGACAATCACATAATGTATAACATGATCCCCTAATATATCAAGTACTCACCTGGCACCATACTTAGTCATTGCAATATTACTGACTATATTTCCTATGCTGTAGTTTGCAACTCATGACTATTTTGTAACTACCAATTCGTACTTTTTAATCCCTGTGCCTTTTACACCCAGCCTCCCAACCCCCACCTTAAACAGTTTTTTTAAAAGCAGTTTTCCATTTTAGCCCAGCTGAAAGTTCCCACGGAAGACTTTGATTGGTCCTGCTTGGATCACATGACTTTTGCTAAACCAATCACTATGGCCAGGAAGCCAGCATACTCAGACTGGCTAGAACTGGATCATGTACTGATCTTGTAATTGAATATACCCCCTAAGGCAGGGGTCCTCAAACTTTTTAAACAGGGGGCCCTCAGACCGTTGGAGGGCCGGACTATAGTTTAAAAAAAAAACTATGAACAAATTCCTATGCACACTGCACATATCTTATTTTGAAGTAAAAAAACAAAACGAGAACAAATACAATATTTGTATTTGCATGTGGCCCGCGGGCCATAGTTTGAGGACCCCTGCCCTAAGGTCTCCTGAATTAAAGGGAGAAATTAAAGGGAAAGCAGAGCAGGAGGTAGAAACCAGAAGAAGAAGGATAACAAAGCATGCTGGGAGAACAAAACTATAGATCTAGCTGCTGTTATATTTGAACTAAAAAGATTTTTATGGCTAACTCATGCAAAATGCAATGACTCAAGACAAGACAGTATGAGTCACTCCAACAGTGAAGAATATTACATGCTTTTTTGGTGAGACACACTGCCATAGTCCAAATATCTTCTCTTAAGAATCAGATTTCCCATGTCCTCAATAAATTCCTATCTGACCAGGGAACTGAGCCCAGCAATGCAGCTTATTGATCCTACAAGCTCCTAATTTCAGGATCAGCCCTTCATGTAGGCAGGAACCCAACTGAAGAAATTTCAGGACCATTTTTAAATTACTTCTTAGTGGAACTTATAATTCTTGCCAGATACGCCTGCCCAGCCCTGCCATCTGTTACCTTGATGAAAGGCAGGCCTCCTACAGTGAAGCTCCAGCATGACTGGGTAAGGGGGTGTAGGGGGAACGAAGGGGTGGGGCCACAACATTAGTAACAAAGAAACAGAATTTCCAGAGGATGTGGCCCAGAAATCAGGATTTTAAAAAGATTCCCAGGTGATTCTAATGTGCAGCCAAGGTTGAGAACCACGGTCCTAGAGACTTGTAAGGAAATAATTAACTGCTCCTTTTAAGGCTATCTTGCTTGTGTTCCAGATATTGGATAAAGTTTAAAAAGAAGAAAATACAGGGTGGGCAAAAGTAGGTTTATAGTTGTGAGTACGCGAAACACAGTTTATTCTTGTGTTATTATTTATTAATTACTGGATTGTCCATACGAATAGCTGTAAAGCTACTTTTGCCCACCCCTGTGTGTAGCAGACACGTTAGAAGAGAAATAAAATCCAAAACAGATCAGCTTTTCCTACCTTCAAGACCTGTTATTTTTTTTCCAGTTGTATAAGTTACTGTGTTATATTAACCCACCATCTTTCCCATTTCTTCCAACCACAGTGTCCTGCAAAGCCAGCCTGGAGGGATCCTCAGCATAGCCTGCTGTAACCCGCAATTCAGGAAGGAGCTAGTGGGGAGGACTTTCAGATGTTTCATTTGACTACTCTTTAAGTTTCTCATAACATCTCATAAACCTGCTCAACTAATTTTCCACTCTAAGCACATAAAATCATAATTGTGATAAAGTCATAATAATGAATGGGAAACAACAAAGACTGAATTTGATTAATAAGAAACACTAAATGACCGAGGAGAATAAGGATATGAAGTTATATATTTAATTCCATCCTTCTTAAATCCAGACTTTGAAGCGAAATTGAATGATTACCTATTCTCACTATAACAAGGCAGTCTAGTCACCAGCATCATTCAAACCTCCTTTAAGAATGTTTACTTTTATCTCATGATAAAAATATATTAATTATAAAACAAGTTTTAATGTAAAAGTAAAAGGAGAAAAAATAATCACCTATATGTCCACCAGACAGCAATGTTAACATCTTAATGAGTACACATCCAATGATTTTGCTGTTCACATTCATCTGTCTTTTATATGGTTACATGATTTACATGGTTCATTGTGATGCTTGTTTCTTTTTAAAATTAATATCTAATATTTAAGAAGCTTTATAGAATCCATTATATAATGAAACTGAATAAAACTAAATAGCTCTCCCAGTTTAAGAACTGAAGTCTGAGTTCTGTTTTGCTCATTGAAAGTGAATTATAAGACAACATAGACATCTTAGTGCAGAAGATGTCACATGTCTAGTTTCAAATCATAGAAATAAGAAATTGCAAACTAAAAATATAATCAAATGTTTATATTTTTCTTTTTGGCATTTTTCTACATTGGATTTAAAATATATTTTCTAATTATAAAGTAAGAGTAGCATAATAGTTCAAATTGATGTAAGATTATTGAGTCATTTCCCAATTGTTGGATATTTAGTTTTGTACCGGTGTTTCATATTGGCAAATAACATGCTATAAAAGATATCTATGAAGATTGCTGGTTTTCTTCTTTAGTTACATTAAAATTTTACAGAATAGCGCTTAGTCAAAGAGTATAGTCATTTTCACATTTTACATGCTTCAAATATTAAATACTAAAAAAGAAAGAACTCATGGACATTGGACAACAGTGTGGTGATTGCGGGGAGGAAGGCGGGGAGGAGAAGAGGTGGATGGAGGTAGAGGAAGTATAGAGAGGATAAATGGTTATGGGGGGATGAAAAAAAGAAACAGAGGCATGGATATATGGAACAGACTGACAGCCATCAGATGAGAGGGGGTGGTGACTGGATGTCAGAAGGCGAAGGGATTAGCCAAAAAACATATATGCATAACCCACAGTAACCCATAGACACCGACAACAGTGTGGTGATGGCCAGAGGGAAGGTGGGGTGGGGGCAGGGTGGATGTGGGCAAAGGGGTCGGGGAGGGAGAATGGAGACATTTGTAATAGTGTCAACAATAAAAATAAAGTTAAAACAATTTTTAAATTGGCTCGCTGGATAGAGCGTCGGCCTGGGGACTGAAGAGTCCCGGGTTTGATTCCGGTCAAGGGCATGTACCTTGGTTGCAGGCACATCCCCAATAGGGGGTGTGCAGGAGGCAGTTGATCGATGCTTCTCTCTCATGGATGTTTCTAACTCTCTATCCCTCTGCCTTCCTCTCTGTATAAAATCAATAAAATATATTTTTTTTAAAAAAGATTAAATACTAAAAAATGTGTGTTTCTCATCCAGCCTGTGTGGCTCAGTGGTTGAGCAACCCATGAACCAGGAGGTCATGGTCTGATTCCTAGTCAGGGCACATACCTGGGATGGAGGCTCGATCCCCCATAGGGTGTGTGTAAGAAGCAGCCAATGGAGGATTCTCCTCATCATTCATTTTTCTATCCCTCCCTTTCCCTCTCTGAAATCAATAAAAATATATTTTTTAAAATTATTTTTAAAAATGTGTGTTTCTCCAACATGAGTTATATAATAAGAATGCAGTAGGGCCCAGCCAGCATGGTTCAGTGGTTGAGTGTGGACCTATGAACTAGGAGGTCATAGTTTGATTCCTGCACATGCCTGGGGCACATGCCTGGGTTGCGGGCTCACTCACCAGTATGGGGTGCGGGAGGCAGCTGATCAGTGATTCTCTCTCATCACTGAAGTTTCTCTCTCTCCCTTCCTCTCTGAAATCAATAAAAATATATATATATTTAAAGAATGCAGTAGATTTATCACTGGATTTCTAAGTCAAAGTCACTAAGTATTAAGCTAGGTTTCCTTGGTTTAAGAAAAACCATTAAAGGTAACAATATTTTCCCAACACTCCAACACAAGAATTCTACAGCAGCCGGCCACCCTTTGTGATATTCTTCTGATTCTCCAACTATTTCATTCCTGGAAGTCAAGGATTATTTTACCAATTGCAAATGACATTGGATATCATAGGATAGGCTTAAATTTACTGCAAGGATTAAAAGAATGAGACTCGGACTCTATTTAGTTCTTGACGGAAAAACCAGCATTTCTGGCTCCAGAATCCCTATAATCTCAACAGCCTTAGAATACTGTTGCTAGTCTGAAGATTTAGTAAAATGAGAATTGAAATTCCCCATTAATTTCTATTACATTTATTCCCAAAGTCTGCAAGTAACAGAATACAAATAGAATGCACTGTATTTTTCCTGGGTGAATTATAACATTAACCAAGAACCTTATTCAAGAACTGTAACCGAGATATAACATGTACTTTAGTACAGTGACAGCTGTTGTTTTGTTTGTTCTAGCACACATGATTATATGTGGAACAATATGTGGAACAATAAATAGTTATCCATGACAGTGGCCAGAAATTTATCTTAATGAGTTATTCTCACTCCAAGGAGTGCATAGATGTAGCATAGATCACAAACAGTGGGTCAGTTCCTCTAGACCAGTGACTGTGAAACTTTTCTGAATGGGACCCAATAGGAGGTGTTCAGGAGGCAGCTGATCGATGTTTCTAACTCTCTATCCCTCTCCCTTCCTCTCTGTAAAAAATCAATAAAATATATTTCAAAAAAAACCCCAGAAATCTATGGCTAAAAAAAACAAAACAAAACAAAAAAGCAAGCAAAAACCTCAGACACAGACAACAGTATGGTGATTATCAGAGGGAAAAGGGGTGGGGGAGGTAGAAGAGGATAAAGTGGAGATAAATGGTGACAGAAGGAGACTTGACTTTGAGTGGTGAACACACAATACAAATACAAATGATTATAGAATTGTACACTTGAAACCTATATCATTTTATTAAACAATGTCACCCCAATAAACTCAACTTAAAATTTTTTAAAAATATATACTCACAGACACACACACACAAATGTCTCCAGACATTACCAAATGACACTTGGAGGGGAAAATTATCTCCACTTGAAACCAACTGCTGATAGCGATGACAATTAAATTTGTCCCCTAGAGAAAATTCAAACCTTTTTCCTTCAGCCACCATAAATGCATTGCTCTCTCCAATTCTCTTTGAACCAGCCACACCACCGTCAGCCAATTACCTCATTAACATGTTAAGTGAATCTTTAACATGTGTTCACTTTATATTTGTATGAGAGTCATGTTTTCAACTTTTTAGAAAATATATTTGGCAATACTTTCTATACATTACTTAATCCTTCTAACAACTGGATAAATATGAGGCTTTGAGATGTAAAATAAGGACCCAAAGTCCCACTGCTAACACTTACAACAAGGTTTGGAACCCGCCTTCATGTTCCAAATAGTGAACTCTTCACCACCATGCTATACTATCTCATGAAGCTACAGTAAGTCCTAAATCTCTGTTATTAAGACAGATCTCTGTGACCTGGCTTGCTGTGGTCACTGAACTTAGCTTGCAATTATACCCCCACAGCTCTTGGCCACCCAATTTACATATGTACTATAAAAGGGCTTGCATAGTTCAAAATCCAAGAACCAATCAGAGTAGCCTTCTAACTTTGAAACATTCTATGTTCATTTTATTATAATATCAACACAACAGCCAGCTGACAGAGTAGTACATGGAATCTGTAGCTACTTAATTCAAAGTGCCATGTCCATTCAACATGTTCCTTGAACTTATCTTTGCGAGTGAGTTGCTGCTATCTCTCTCTCTCCAGGCAAAAGATAGAATCTTTTGGGACTTGTTTATCCTGGTATTCACTTTTTGTCCCTCTTCATGTTGGAAAAAAAAAAAAAAAGGAAGATGTGGTAAAATAAGGCACAAAGGCATCAGGGAGTGTTCTATGCTGAACTTCACATCTTCTCTGTCTAGGCTAATAATACTAATCACAGTAGGAAGCATATAAATCTGCATTGGATTCCGTGATTAAATAATCATTTTCCTCAGTTTTGAGTTACCTCTCGTAGGAGGTAACTTAGCTTTATGGAAAATACATGCAAGAACCTGGTGTGGCTGGGCTCATCCTGCTCCCTGATGTTCCCTCTGCTCCCACCTCCCCCGTGTCCTGCTCTGCCATGCCCTACTCTGAAGAAACAGTTGCCATCTCCCCCAACAAGTGGGCGGCTTGTGAAGGAGGCCCCTCTTTGCCCAGTTCTCAGAGAATGCCATGGTTCTGAGCAAGAGGTCTGCGTGGGCCACAGGCTATGACCTATATGCTTATAAAATACCACACCTACGGAGAAAACCCTTGTGAAAACTAAAATTAAGATACCTCTTGCCCTGGCCTGTGTGGCTCAGTTGGTTGAGTGTCGTCCCATGCACCAGGGGTCTAGGGTTTGATCCACAGATGGGGCAGGTGTGGGAGGCAACCAATTGTGTTTCTCTCTCTCCCTCCCCCCTCCCCTCTCTCTAGAGTTAATGGAAAGGGTGTCCACAGGTGAGGATTAAAAATAAAAATTTTAAAGTAGCTCTTTCTTCTGGATGTTATGGAAAAATACCTGTAGTTCTGGTTTGCCTACAAAACGCTTCTTAGATGCAGGATTTGGTGTCATCGATGAAGACTATAGAGGAAACCTTGGTGTTGTGCTGTTTAATTTTAGCCAAGAAAGTCTAAAGTAGAAAGAGTGATCAGATTGCACAGCTGATCATGTGTGCAAGGATTGTTTGTGCTTTTTTTTAAAATCCAGAAATAGAGGAAGACCAAGTTTGTTTGTTTTTTAATCCAGCAATAGAGGAAGTCTAAGTTTTGGATAATACAAAAAGGGACTCGGGAGGTTTGGGTTCCACCCAAACACATGCAGGAACACAAAGTGCTTCCCATCTTTCATGCCACTGATACTTCCACATCCATGGAAGGTGGGCCAATCTTAGGTATTACCCCACTTGACAACAAAGGAAAATGAGGTGCCAAGATGTTATTTGAGGCCACGCAAATAGTCTGCATTGGATACAGATTTTTAATAAAAATCAAACAATCCTAGAGATTTGGGTTTATTTCAGTATGGATTATAAACTAGGTCTCTTTACCAAGCCAATATACTTTTCTTTGTCCTTCCCCCACCCCCACCCCTCTCCACTTTCTTTCTGTTATGCTTATAATGAGGCTTCTAATGAAGTGCTCACCAAAACAAACAAGTAAAGCCAAAACACCATTCTTAGGATACAATAAGTCAGGGTCTGCAATTATAGTGCCCCCTGTCTTTTGGGAAGTCCCATGCTGCCAGGAGATGAAGACTGAATCAAGGACATAGCACATGGAGAAGGCAGCAGCAATAGCTGGACAGGCTAAAAAGTGCAACAGCCAAGTGGAAAGCAGGTGGGACTGTGAGTAGGAAAACCTGGGTTCTCTCCCAGCTCTGATGCTTGACCCTGGGCATGTCATATAACTTCTCTGAGCCCAAGGAAGCCATGCCTCTCTCAAAATTGAAATTGTTAACAACAACCTCATGGTATTTGGTTAAAAGGGTTAATAAATATAAAGCACCCAGTCAAATGCCTGGCACCTGGTGGGTGTTCACTATTATTAGCTCCATCTTTTAGTCCCAACCCTTTTGACTCCATCCTAGAAACCTAAGATTGTTCTTAAGATAAAATAAAATGTTACGAAACCATC